CCACCCTCCCCCCCCGCTTGTTCCTGGTCTTTCTGTGCCTCGGGAGGCTCCAGTATGTCCGAAATGTGTGACACGAAATCGAATTCCTCCGGGCAGTAGGGGATGAGCTCCTCAACGAACGGGGGGCTCAGGCTCATCTGCCATCGCAAGCTGTGTCACGAGTTGAAGTTGTTCACAGGTGCCAGGTTCCTGCTGCCCTGTGACTGTCATGCGGTCGGTACGTATGGGCAGGCCGGAAACAACTATCGGAACTGTGCTTAGCTGCTCGGTACGACTCGCCAGGTCCGAAAGTCTGCAGAGCCGGGCTCCAATACTAGTGACCATAGGGTTTAGGGTTTATGGGGTTTAGGGTTGTTGCGGGAGCTACAGCATGTCTGTTGAAGTGCGGCGACTACTCAGCCAATACGCACGCAAGGCCATCAGCCAACGACGGGGCCGGCGGTGGCTTTGCTGTCGCAGGGTTGGGGGTGAGGGAAGTGTCGGAAAAGACTAACGTTCACAAGCAGTTCTCCAAAGGTGGCTTGATTTCGCGTTGCAATTCTTCATTTTGGGCTTAGACGGGGCTCAGGGCTTCCCTAACCTATAGCGCCCTTCTGGTTTGACACGCGCTGTTTGGGGCCATCAGGGGACTTGTCCGTCCCGTCAGACGGGGAAGGAGACCACGATTCGTTTCCGCAGGTTCAGGGTCGGACCCCCACTCCGCACGTCCAGTACTTCCCTCGAAGGCTTCAACTTCTGAATCCGCAGCCCCGATCGAAAGCCATCCCTTGATCTAACCCGACGCGCAGTTCCTCATCCGCTTTCCAACTGGCCGACCAAGCACTCACCGGCTGTGCATCGAAGATCATCGAAGCAATTGGAGTACGGAGGGTGCCAGGAGCGGAACTGAAACTCGTGCTTGAAAGGTGCTCAAACTGTTCCAGGTGTTTATGTGTGTGCGCGCATGCTTTGACATGTTCATATCTGTCCAGTTCTGACACCCTCCACCTAGGGCCTACGGACCGTTCTAGATGCGCGAGAGGTTCTCGCTCACTGGTTGATGACGACCTGCCAGCTGCGGGGCTCAACCCGACAATTTAAAGAGCCCGACTCTGCCTGGGGTCTTAGGGCACTTAATTACCATGACAAGGGATGCGTCC